CAATGATACATGAAACAGCTGATAAATATCCGTTTTTATAACCAAGTAGGGGTTTGTTGCAACCACTTTTGAAATAACGAGCACTCTTTAAATAATTATTGTGGCATTTAAATAATCTGAGTCGGTAAATCTTACCAGCCCTCCTCCACCTCATTGAGAATCGAATGATCATCCACTAGTATCTGTACAGTCATATCGACAAATCGTTTATCGTAAGCTGATCACGGCATGATAGACTCTGATCTAAAAGAGTGTAATAAAGATGTTTATTGTTTTACTCTACAATGTATTTCCGTTCTTGACAATTTTTTTTAACTACGATCTCTCTGGAATGTTTTTTTTTCTATCAGCCTTAAAAATATTATGAAAGTGTATATTCAAGTTTTTTTTATATCATAACCACCGGAGGTAGGGTGGGGCAACAATTGGAAAATTGGAATCTTTTCTGCACTTTTCAAATATCTTAATGCTTCTTGAGTTAACGTGTAAAAACTTGACAAGATACATTGAGGGTATGCCCTTGTAATAAATCGATTTATTAGGGCCCTTCCATTACTTTTTCAATGAATCTGCATACAAACACACGACACTATCACTTGTCTGGAGAATGTATACATAAATAAAATGCTAAATAGACATCATATCCATGTTAACGGCCTTTTATGTAACTGCAAATAATATTTAATTTGAGAGTAAGAGACATTTTTCATTGTATCAAATGTGACTTGATCAGCCTCTTACTTTGTACAAACTGCATGATTTTTGCGAGATGACGTCACAGTGACAAGTGCATTGTGATTGATGCATCGTTTATATACTCTTGTGTGGGATTTAACAAACGACAAAACTGCTTGTAATAGAAAGTTTGTATATAGTATACAGCTGTTCAGCTGTTTGAAATAGCAAGTAATTGATTAAGTTTATGGTAATTTGAAGACCTAATATTATGTGTGACGTCATAGCAAACATTTCTCGTACAAATTAGGCCCCGCCTCTGTACTGTAACCTTAACTGTGCTGCGGTGTGACCAGTCGGCAGGAGATGCTTTCTCCTCCATGGTACCTTATCCCATCTCTGATGTTTTAGAGGTCCGTGTTCGCTCTGCTCCTATTTTGTATTGTTTTATGGATTTTGATATTGAATATTATTTGTTATTTTAATACCCTTCAATTTCATACCTATTTAGGACAAGTCCACAAAATGTTTCAAATTCAAATTATGGGGTTAAATCTATATTTAGTTTTTTTTTTAATCTCGCACAGTCATATTTAATATTGTGACATGACCCGGCGAGTTTTCCTTTGAAGTCAAGCATACTGTAACTGCGATACAGAACACTTTTTGTGGGCGTTTCTTATGCGAATGAGCAGAAACTGTACTGTATCTGCAAAATATCAACGATACAGTACGGTTTATATTTAGCGATGACGGAAAGCTGTATACAGACATACCAATCGTTCAATTCGCCATAGAACTGTTAGTATTTACTCAAAAATTGAGGTGACTTAGGAACAAAATTTTACAACGTAAAGGTAATATTGTCGGATTCAAAAATTTTAGAAAGGAGGGAGTGGGGAAGTTCACAATTTATTACTTTGAACCCCCCCCCCCAAAAAAAAAAAAAAAACGGAAAATCGTATTCCGTGGGGTTATATTTATAATCAACCAACACCTATGTGCGTCATTTCGGGAGGTGGGATGGGGGCACCAGTGAGTGCTGTATTCCCCTTTTTTTAGTTACTCTACATTTTAATGAAAACATGATGTAAAATACCCCCCCTTTTTTTTTCCTTTCATCTGCTTATTTCAATTTGTATATGACGACCGGTGGAGGACAATGGCGGACATTTCTCTCAGAATCTACGATCTCCCGAAGCATTTTTGTTTTAAAAATATTCCAATATCATTCTTATATTTCAAAATGTTTTGCATTAAATCGTAGCTTAAACTAAAAAAAAGTCAGCAAGAGCTGCATAGAGAAAAAAACCCCGGCACAATCAAATCTAAATAAAACTTTTGGAGAACAAATTAATTTATGCATCCTTAAATGATTATTTTAAAATGATAGATACCTGCACGTCCATCTCACTTGGCATTTCAGTTGCAAATGCTTAAAATGGGTTACTAAATCAAATTTCTGCAAAATCATCTGATTGGTTGGGAGGCATGTACCCAAATACGCATGTAAATTAGTGAGGTCCCCAGAAAGGTCATGTCACAAGTCTTTTAGAATACTCGTTTCTTACTGTGACAGAGATACAGGGCGGGGCCCTGCTCGAGCTATCGCTCTCGCCTCAAGCCCCGCCCTGTATCTCTGTTACAGTAGGAAACTCGTACTCTAAATAATACTAAACAAGAAAAAGTTTACGCAACATACAATTGTAGCCCAGGAAATAAAAGAAATTAACAATAGAAATGAGTCTATATCATCAAACCGCTTCGATACAATTGTCATGTGTCCGAATGTGGAGATGATAGTTGAAATAATTTTTGAAACTTAAGGATGTACAACACTTACCCCAAAAATTTCTGTCGTTATATTTTCGTTATCTTTGTATATTTAGTATATGACTATTTCTACTGCATGTATGCACATTTTGGACAAAATCGTTCGAGTGGTTTTTGGACAGGAAATTCCAAAAGTTACCCCCCTTTAGCTGTTCACAAGGAGAGAAAATTTTTAATCAATGAGCTACTTAAACCTTGATATTCAAAAAAGCCAGGTTAGATATAACTGTCAAATTTCATTGACTTATTCCTTTAACCATTTAACACAAAAACATAGTCATCTTTTTTATATACATATCATCAAAACAATTTTTAAAGGCCTTAAACTGAAAAACTATGAATTATCTAAGCCTTGAAAATTGTGTATTTTTCAAATTCAAAATTTTTTTGTGAAAAAATCTGTCGTTTAATTTTGGTAAAAAACTTTATTTAGGTAGCTGGTAGTAAAAATTATCTTCATAATTTTTTGTATAATTTTTGTACGACCAGTTTTGATTAAATAGTGGAAAATTACCCCCTCCCCCTTTCTCAATAAATCACGTTCCGCGCGTCTTTCAGACGGGGTCGATCACTTTGCTTTGAATCTACAAATACACATTTTAAAAAAATCAAATTGAAATATTGCTTTTGCTTCAAAAATATATTAACTTACATATTTAAAAGTTCTCATATGTAAAACGTATTTAAATGTAGATTTTAAGGCAATTTTTGAACACCCCTACCACCCCCACCCCTTCCTTTTTTGCGTCGCAGACCATTAGCGTTTGACGAAACGTCGTTTGTACAGTGCACATAACTAGTAATTCGTCATTTGAATCCCGGAGGTATGCATTAGTTTTTAAATTAATGAATGCAGAATAAATATTGACTGCTCGTTTTATATGGGAAAATATCAGGAAAAAATTACTGAAGGATTTTAGTGTTTAACCCACATGTATGTATGCGTTATGCATTCCATATCACATGAATATGTTGATTTTTATTAATTAATTTTATTTCTTTAATTTTATTCATCAACAAAAATGGTGTATGTTCTCTCTTGTGATACAAATGGAATAATTATATCCTTATATATTTATTTCTTTCATGTCATTATTTCAAACGAGCTCGAGACAGTATGTGGCCGTGGGGATACATGGACATTTGCATACATGTACACCCCTCGCGATATTGTACGCATTCTTTCAATGTCATTGCTTCTAAAGTTAAAAGGAAAACTCCGTATTCGTCCTCATTAACTTCAAAATATCAAACATGCATTAAACTCTTCATCTATTTTAATCTATATCAAATCGCACTTTGAAATTTTTAAAAAAATTATAGGCTACGTTTTATTTTGATTCGAGGAAATGCGAACCGACATTGTTGACAGTGACAGAAAGTCAAACGATTTGCTGCAATAGGATATTCATAATATTCAGATAATTTCAGTACTAGTAAACAATTCTTTTCAATTCTTTACTTACATTGTGTCTATGAGGTCTATACCGTAGTTTTCAATTGAATTCTCGGATTTATCAGGTCTTGCTGTACTTATTTGATTCTGTGTATGCGGAAAACCGTGAATAAAGGGAGGAAAACAAACATCTCCTACATTATTAGAGTTGTTCCTCTTTGTTCAGTAAGGGTCTGAGAACAACATCGATTTTACATTGTAAAAAGTTTTTTGTTTGTTAATTGTTTTATTTAATGAAAGAAGAAAAACAATATTTATATAGTAAATGCACAAATTATAATAAAGACCATTAATCGGAATGTTATACATGTATATAGCCATTTTTCAGCATAAAAAAATGCTGCGCTTTGATCATATGAAATGAAATAAACCATTAAGGGATGGTATTTTATGTCTTGCTTTTTACGGAGTTTAATCGGGTTAATTGAAAAATACATATGGACTGAGTATGGTACTCATAATCACAGCCAATCCCCATATCCCATTTTCCTTGCATGATTGATATACATCGGGATCGTTTTACTCGTCATTTTGACGCTTTATTTTTGACGTTAAACTTGACGTCACGTCAAACGTTCAATTGAAATCGCAAGATTATCTCCCCCAGTGTGTTGTACGTCTTTAAATCGGATGAAAATCGAAATAACGATACACTTTTAAAAGATATTTAAATTAATTCCTTAAGTAAATAGTGGCTGTATAACATATAGATTAAAATCAGCAACACACACATCTTCCAATACATCACCTATTCTCAATCCCATACACCAAAACTTAAACTAAAATGTATAGTAGCCCTGTAACTTGCAGGGCTGCAAAAAAACACCTTTTTTTCAAATAACCTTGACGTCTTAAATGTTTGTTATCAATATCATGAAGACCCGCCCATGGATCGATTTATGAAATCTCAGTATATTTATCCAATCAGAAAGTGATTAATTAAGAATTCTGTTTGAAAAAAAATCATATTATATAATTGTATTAAATCGTGAAATAACAGATATTACCAATTAAGATTTCAGAAACAACAGTTACTATGATGAACAAGGAATTCTTTGTGGCTTTATTTGTTGCTTTGTTTAGATTTTCCGCATCTGAATCAAAGCGCTACACTGCTAAAATAGACTTAGATGATGATACACTCCATGAAACCCTGTTGACTGAATATGATGCTCATTCACTGGTCATGTGCTCAGCAATGTGTGGTCCGAGGTGTACTTACTTTGGTTACAATTTACAAACAAAGAAATGTCGAGTTTACACTGGATGTCATTCAACTAGGTCAGCAGGACCGGAAGTAGGGTGGAGATACTATTTTACAGAATCTGAAGGTAATGCACCAAATTCTCGCCTATACGTCGGCTTTCTAATAAGTTATTTTTATTTTACAGATTACTTCACAGTGATTTACCATTCACCTGCTTTTAAGGGGGTAAATTTGAAATCCAAATTTGTTGTCAATTTTAAATATAACTCCTTGTATTTTACAATGTTGGAAGGTATATTTCGCAGCTTATAAAGCGTGAACTGGTCCAAGTAATGATATATTGTATACTATAGGTTGATAACTACTATCAATTTAAATTATAATACTGAAGCACTAAAGATTTGAAAAGTTATAGGGAACATAATCGTGACGTAGCTGAAACCTCGTTTGGTGTGTTTTATGGTATTTGGAAAAGTCAAGAATACGCCCCTATTTGCAAAAAAGCACGCTGAATGTATTATTCTAGCTACCGAGTTCTGTATAACATACGTCCGTCTTCACCTAGTCGTCTGATTACACTGATGAGAGACTAAGTTTTGCCATATTTATAGGGGTCTGCAGAGTAGCGAGACTCGGGAAAAAAAATGGCGGACAGATTCCTTTTACGAATCGTTTTCATCTTTAAGATCGATTTTAGAAAAGGATATTTTTTTCAGAATTGTTTATGCAATGTCATATGGGTTAGCTTACTGAAAGATATCTTTGAAATTGATCTTAGTTAATAAATCAAACTTGTATCTTTATTTCCTTCCCTCAATTGATACAAAGATCGTCATAAAGAATATATTTAATTGATCATATTACCTTTTGTTCATTTAATATAAATTGATTCTCTTTAATGCATGTACTTTGGCATAGTTCCTGATAATGATAGTGATTAAAATTCATCACTATTTTTTCAGCTTCTATGACTTCAATAAATATTTTTCAGAAATCTTCAAATGGATTATCTTAAAATTATTATGAAATACATTGATTTATCGTAATTATGAATCTGATCCATCATTAAGATGTTTAATCAAAATACTAACCATCTAGTAAATCGCATGATTTCACGTTAAGCGAAAGTAATGAAAAATAAAGCCAATCACTTACATGTAACACTTTTTATATTTCTAAAGGAAACTAGCAAAGAAGAAAGTACAGATTTAGCCTTATTGTGTCCTACTTAAATGTTTCCAAAAAGTTGTAAGACTGGATTAAAAATATTTGAGTTTATAATTGTGATAGATCAGGAAAATATATGGCTATATTAAGTACCAGTATAAAGTACCATTTGGAAATTCTGACGTCATTTATATGATGCATTTCTCTATTTTAAACAGAAAAAAGTATGAAAACGATCCATTTGAAGGGTACTTTTCCTTCAGATAATAGTTCCACAACAGTTGCCCACTTAAATTATTTTATATGTTATGTATAATTAAATTAAAAAATCACGATTCTTAAAATCTTTGTGGGCGTTGTCTGTGGACAATATTAACTGAACAAAGAATCCTTTGAAAATGGGTGTCTTCTGTAACTTTCTAAGAACAAACAGGAAAATGTACATGTTTGTGACGTAACAATTAGCTTGCAGAAATGCATGTGATAAAATTAATTTTTCTTGAATTTTCTGCAAGAAATTTTGATTATTTATAAAAAGCACGAGTTTTTTTATTTTTACACCAGTTTTACATCATTTGTTTAAGAAAATCGCTGGGCAAAATTTTTCTTAATTTGTTCTAATAATTGGCGCACATTGCCAATTAAACACGTTCGCTGCGTTTGTTTGTGTTGTGTGTCTGGTGTGAATGTTTTGAGAGATCATGTGACATTGGTTATTTTCGTATTTACACGTGTTTTCGGTTTGGTGACCTAATGTGACCTTACTGCTGACCAATAACTGACCGTTTTTATCTCATTAATATGCATGATTTAACTTCTGCACTCAGTATATAAGCACTGTACCCGCCAAAATTCTTGACCCCCACGATTTTTGCCTTTACGGTAGAAGACAGATTGCATTATATTATACAAGAAGTATTCTTCAAAGATTTACTTGGTTTAATATTTAACTGGATTCCAGCTGGTAAGCTTACCGTTTACCTTTATTATAATCATTATGTAAACTTATTTTATATTTTACTTTTATTAATTAATTCCGCAGCGAACAATCCTTTAATTTATGTGTTGTTAATGTTTGATCTTAAATGTAAAGTATTTGTCTTGTGTGTATTGTGTTGTGAGAGTGTGTTTGATTTATACTTTGTAGGTTTATTACTATAAGCACGTAAATAAATACTTTTTGTGCCGAATCCAGTGTTGGAATCTTTCCTACAAAAGACCCGGTGAACAATCATTGTATTGTGACGTCCTAAAATGTTTCAATTTGCCCATATTTTTAGAATTTTTAAATATATTGAAAAAGTCTCCAAAACAGCTCATTTTAAAGCTTTTTTGATATCTAATATAGAGCACAACCTCAGATCTAAAATATGCAGCCAGTTAATGATAGAACTGTAAATAGAATCAAAAGACATCCTCGTATGTTAGATCTAAGAGTGAGATAAGAGTTGCTTATCTAAACGTACTCAAATATACCTGTTTATTTTAATTTTTCAAGAACATTGCAAGTTAATAAAGCCAGTTCTCCAAGACCGTTTTTTGAAAAATTTTAATATAGGAAATGAAAACATCTCTATTCTATTTTAATGCTTCAAATCGAACATCAAGTGTGAACCAATCAATTGGGATATCTACAGGGCCATTTTATGCATAAAGAGAATCATTTCTGACCCAGGGGGAAAATCAGTTTTAAAAGGGGATTTTCATGAATGTGTTCTTTTAATAATTTGGGGAAAATCCTTTAATGATTATTATGTATATTTGATAAATATTGTTTGATAGTTATAAGAATTACATAATTGCTCAGGGGCTGTTATGAGATCATAAAAAAAGAAGTTCTAATAACCATTATTGATTCAAGATTGTGTAGTCTGTAAATATTCAATCACACATGAGCAAAAATGAAAACAAATATATTATGCAATATCACATAGAAAACCCTTTAACCTTTAATTTTTAAAATTACAAAAAAGGAAACTTTGCATTTCAATTAAAAGTGACTGAAAGGGGGCTAAATGACAGATATCTACTCTTTACTAACCTTTCAGTGATCTTTCTTTTAATATTAAGAAGACTGAATGGTAAAGGTTCGTCCTATGTTGATAAGTTAAATTGATAAGTTATTGCTATAAATTTTTACTTCCTCTGTATTACTGCTTTATATTGCACTTTGTCTCTAAATAAAAATAATTATTGATTTTTCTCAATAACTTTTAGAGAACACTCGCCCGACGGACTGTAAACGTTTGCTTGCTGATGGTTTTACTTTATCTGGTGTTTATACCATCTATCCCTGGGACAACCCTTCACTGGAAGTTTTCTGTGATATGGATACAGAAGATGGAGGGTGGACGGTCAGTGTAATTAGTAATTAATCACTGCATGGAATTATATGAATAATAATTTTATTAAAAGATTTTGACGATACTTTTCTTTATACAATAGGTTATACAGAGGCGTGTTGACGGATCAACGGATTTCAACAGAACTTGAAATTAGTATAAAGAAGGGTTTGGTTCTGTTAATTCGTCTTACTGGATAGGTGTTACATAAATATGTATTTCATTTCTTAATAATGTAACAAATATCAAGTCTCAAAAATCAATTCTCAATGGAATGAAAATATGCGGAATACATTTTTTACTTAATTTCGTGCTTCAACGATGGATTTATTTTGTTAATATTTTATAAATTAGTTTCTGTAAAATATAATTCGGGTAAGATTTATGTTATGCAATGTCATGAATGCATAGTGCATTAACGAAAGTTCTATATATATTTGTTTAACCAAGTGTTATGATACCATTTGAAAGAAATAAAAGATTATCCTTAGTATTGCCATTCTGAGGTCAGAGTAACTGAAAATTTATTAATTAATAATAACTGATCAAACAAAACGATAAAAGAGCGACAACTCCTTCTTGTTCAAGAACAATTTTAATATATTTCAATGATACACTGACACGCAAAAGAAACGCAATTCCATTTAAATAAGAATAAGATTTACTTTTTATGATTTATTGTTAGTGTCAAAGTTTTCGCAAAGTGTCAAAGTTTTTGCCAAATTGACAAAGTTTTCGTCAAAATTTTCCCAGACTGTTAAATATTTTGATAAAGTTTTTTCAAATTGTCAAAGTTTTCGATATAGTTTTTCAAAGTGTCAAAGTTTCGACAAAATTTTTCAGTGTCAAAGTTTACGATAAAATTGTTCAAAGTGTCACAGTTTTCGTTAAAATTATTCAAAATGATAAATCTTTTGATGCAGTTTTCCAAAGTGTTAAAGCTTTTGATAAAATTTTCAAAGCTTCAAAATTTTCGTCAAAATTTTCTTAAAGTGTTAAGGTTTTCGATAAAGTTTTTCAAAGTGTCAAAGTTTTCGCCAAAGTTTTTCAAAGTGTCAAAGTTTTCTCCGAAGTTTCTGAATGTGTCAAAGTTTTACCAAGTTTTTCAAAGTGTCAAGGTTTTCGCCAAATTTTTTTAAAGTGTCAAGGTTTTCACTAAAGTTTTTCAATGTGTTAAAGTTTTTGCCAAAGTTTTTCAAAGGTCAAAGTTTTTGCCCACGTTGTTCAAAGTGTCAAAGTTTTCCGCAAAATTAACAAAATATTTGTTTTTTTAAATATTTTTTAGTCAAAGTGCAAGGTTCATTTTTGCCTTATTTGGCCCTTTGAATTTCTGAAAAAGTGAAGCTGCAATTTAGTTAACAATGCATTGAATATCACTAAGATCTTTGGTGACTACGTATCTATCAAAAATGAATTAATTTTCTGGCTAGCCAATGCATTATAATGTAACAAAATGCGTCATCTTCCTCATATTCTGAAAATAGGCTACAAAACGGCCAATTTTTAAAGTATTTTTTTTTTTATTATGTAAAAATGCAATCAAATGATAGAACTGATTCTGGTGATTAAAGGACTTGTTTTATTTCTGATACTGATAGTGAGTAGTGGAATTATTTTTTTTGTTGTAAAGTACCTAATTATACGTACCTCTTTGCCCTAAAATTCAATAACATTGCAATTTCATATAGTTAGTTTTCTTAGACCTGGACTTCTAGGAGAATTTTTATGCGACCGGATTGAGATCCGGGGCGTATATTGTTTTTGTCCTGTCTGTCTGTTTGTTAGTCAATTTGTCTGCAAAATCTAACCTTCGCAGTTTTTCTTAAACCAAGAAAGATAGAAACTTCATATTTGGTATGCGTACTCCACTAATTACATGTAAGCTCTTTCAAATGACACCAAGGTCAATGGCTTTGTGACCTTTACTATGACCTATATGCTTACATTTGCTTTTATTTGCAAACTTAAACATTCGCCATAACTTTTGAACCGTGAAAGATAGAGACTTCATATTAGGTATGTGTACTTCCTTAATTAAGCCCTTTCAAATGACACCACTGTTAGTGACCTAGTGACCTTGTCTGTCACTTGTAAGTTAAAAATAATTTTTTGTACCTTTGCCATAACTTTCGATCCTTAGAAGATAGAGACAGCATATTTAGCATGCATACTCCATTAATTAATCTCTTTCAACTGACACCAAGGTCATTGACCTTGTGACCTTGACTGTGATCTTTATGCTAATATAGTTTTTTTTCGTACCTTTGTTATAACTTTTGAACCACGAGAGATAGTGACTCCATCTTTGATATTCATATTTTACTAACCAATTTCTTTCAAATGATATCAAAGTCAATGACCTTCACTATGACATATATGCTCAAATAGCTATATAGCTTTTTTAGAATTTTGTTGCTGCCGGGCGCATAGTGTTTCACAAACACATCTTGTTTTGATAGGGAATGAAACTTTCCATTTCATGTTGATGCATTAACACCAAGTGATAATCAATAAATTGGTATATCTGCATTTCCATTTTATGCATAAAATGAACTGAACTGAACTTTGAGGGCAAATTATGACCATTAGCAAATAAGGTCCTTTTTTTAGGAGGGCCGACTGGGGGTTTCCATTGCGCAATTCTTTGGGCATCATAGTCAAATAAAGCGCATTTATGTTTTTGAAACTTATATTTTCAAGCAATTTATGAAATTGTACAGAATATTACGAAATCACAGGTTGAAAATCTAAAACAATTATTTTAAATATTGATTTTAAACAAGTTTTCAACTGATAGTTTGAATGAAGTCGTAATAGAATGTTTGTAGCATGTAATGATACACTGACACTTTTTTAGAGGATGTCAGAAAAAGTTATTAAAAACTATTAACTATAAACTCTTAAAATCAGAACATAGAACTTTGAGAATCTCACAATCGTGTATTTTTATTCTTATATGAATCCTTTGTATCCATCATACTTCATAGCACTCCATAAAAACAGGAAAAACTACAATAATTTTGACATTTTGATATGCCCCCTCTGGAAACCAGATGGTAGAATTTTATGCTTCTTACGCATAATGTTCAATATACATGTAGTATAATTTATCTATGTTATGATTTGAACAAAAGAAGTTTATTCAAATAGCCAAAAATGGCATTTTCCTATATAATAATATTGTAAATGAACCTGTATTTTTAGACCGTCCTTAAAAATAACTAAATAGTAGATTGTCACCAAACTTGGCAAGTGCGCATACACATGTAGGTGCACAACACCCCCATCCACAAATATTTCCTGTCGTTTAATTTTATCGTTTTTTGTATATTTTATACGTGACTATATATACCATTTAGATGCACATCTTGGACAGAAACGTTTGGGTCGTTTTTAGATAGGACGTTCTTTAAGTTATGCCCTTTAGCTGTTCACGAGAAGATTTTACCGGACAACCCTTGTACATTTTTCAGTAAAAATCATAAAACAAATGTTACATTTACGTCATTTTTGTAAGTTTGACTGAATTTGGCTCCGTGGTTTCAGAAAAAAATATATATCCATGATTGTAAGAATCCATAACACCAAAACATATCTAAAGAAATTATAAAAAATATATTTCATTTAGTCAGATATCGAACAATATTTGATTTGATTGTATATTGTATAACGTCCCTCTCGAGAATTTCATTCATATGGAGACGCGAGACCAGACAATAAACCCTCCTTAAATTAGATCTATTTCAAGAAGAATATCAATCCATGTAATTCACTTTTTTATTTAAGGAAAAGACGTCATCCATCAATTAACTAAAAACAAATCTTCTCTGTACGTGTCCATTATTCTGACCAATGGAACCACTCTTTATGAACAGTACGGTGAATTCTCTGTAAACAACGAGACAGACAACTACAGACTTTAACTGAATGGACCAACGGAGGGGACATTAGGTGGGTCGTCTGTGTAATCAGTAGGATGGATATAAAATCTTTTGGATTTTTAAAGACTTTGTAAATAATGGACAAAATATCAGTAACTTTAGCCGTAGAGAAGTTTTAGGTGATAGAAAAGTCAAATTATGTAACAGATTACATATCTGGTAATGGATTAGATTACAATCTCTAAGATATTTATCTGTAGTTTCTTTCCCTTAATTTTATACAAAATATATTTTATATGTAAATAGTTATTATAAAAAGAAATATTGGGAGAATTCATTTTAATTATCGGTAACTAAAAAAATATGCAAGTCATTTTATCTAAATTTAAACATCACGAACGCATTTCGTGGGATAGTATATTATCCAACACTAGTATCTGAGTTTTGGTAACAATCAGTTGGTAGTCATGTAGTGTATTTGTATAAACTTAAATTAAATCGAGTAGGATGCTATGTTATCCAGGTGTAAAGATGACATTTAAATTGGATAAATCACCAATTTAATCACCAATCGATTAACTTAACTGTAAAATTTATAATAATATTGTGTAAGAAATCAGTTTACCTGGAATTAAATCACATTGGCAACATTTATGGGGTCATATTCCTTGGTTTTCTTGATTTTCATTTTCTTTACTTTTACAGGAGACAGTATGTTGGACACAGGTAACCCTATTGACCTCGATCTGTCCGGGATGAACTTCTCCACACCAGACAGGGATAACGACAGATGGAGTAATGGCAGCTGTGCAGCTTACAACAACAGAAGAGGAGGCTGGTGGTTTAATTGGTGTGGGTTTGCCTTCCTTAACGGTCCCTGGTCCCCGGCATACTGGTATAAACCATGGTGGCCTACACTTAATGACGGAAGCCAGATAACAGAGACTGTGATGATAATAAAAACACACTAAAAATGTTCAATGTTGTTTTTATTCCTTAGAAAATTTAATAAATTTTCGGATTGTTTTGTTTTTTCACAATAAACACATGCACTAGAGAGTTTTTTGCAGACGATTGGTTTGGTACTATATCGGTTCAAATTGTCTTATTCGGACCCCTGTGGTTCAAAATTAGCCGAACACTGTAATTCCGATTAAAATTTAAAAAAAAAAACAGTTTAAGAATCATAGTTACTGAAATGAATTTAATTATCACCTCGTATTAGGCAAGAATTTTGAATAGACATCATAAATATAAAATATTATACAGTTAAAGTATATCATCGAGGCGCTTGCTCCGAATGCAATAGGCTTGCTCGAAGAGAACTGGAAACTTGCTGACTTCCTCAATAAAATACTTAAACTGTCTTATTATATCGATACAAACAAGACATTTGAAAAAGTTAAATTCGCCATTTCTGTTTTCTTTTGCTACCAGTAAACTAGTTCTTTTTGATTGATATGGGACCAGTTGACTCGCGAAGCATTTCGATTCATTAATGAATATTCATGAGTTTATTCATTACATTTCTAATTTTGTCATAAGTTTAAAGAAAAACCTAAGTGTTCCATATAGGTGTTTATCAGTTCATAGAAAACGAACTTTTTTTTTTGGAAGGGAAAGAGTCTGTTTTGCATGGAATAGGTTTATTCACGGTGATTTTCAGGAAATCAGCAAAATATATCGATTAACTTTTATATAGACAAAAATCAGTAGAGGTATAATAATATTCATTAAAATAAATATGCATTGAGAGTGATGCTTCACTTTTTATTTCGTTTTTAAATAACTCGAAATGATCATTTTTTTGCAGAGGATTTATTAAAAAATTTTTTTTGTTTTATAAGTAATAAGGGGGGGTATCATTTGACAAA